TGTCAGTGATCTATAATATCCCAATGGATTTGAAATGAGTTCAGTAGGGAAACTGAAGAAAGAGCTTAGACTTGATTTCTTTGTGTCCATCAAAGCTTTTGAATATAAATCCTCAGGCCCAAGAATGACCACTTTCTGTCAGTATTGTTTTCTCTGTCTTCATATAGAAATCTGTATAGACTCATCCATTTAAAAATAGCTTTTCTAGCACTCATGCCCTTGAACTTCTTCCTACCTCAAAACCCATAGCAGCATAAAGCTTTAATAAAATCTCTAAAAAACAATAAAAGCAAAATAAAAGGTCTTTTTAACGCATAGAACAGAGAAATGCAAGGCTTCTCAGTAGTCCCAGAGAACCTTAATTTTAATTACCCCACAGGACCTTAATTTTGATTACATTTATTTTTGTTTGATTAACACAAATGTTGTTCATATATAAGGATGGGCAACAATAGGAAAAAAATAGGTGTAACTCCCAAATGTAAAATACAGGCTAATGTGAAACAAAGACTTTCTAGTAAAATTGGTTGACATTCTGGGAAAAAAAAAAAAAAAAAAAGCATGCCACAATGAATAAAAAATAATTAGAAAGAGAAAATGGAAAAAATGCTAACATTTTAGAACATAATAATATTAAACTATAAAATTTACAAGCAGCAGTTTGAGGAATTTAATTATTGTTTTCATTTAAATTAATAATTGTTGCAGATCTGATTCCACTGTGATTTTCATATTATGAAATCAAAGGAATTATCTTAGAGAAAAGGTACCATGCTAGATTAAAAATGATGAAATAATCTGCCTTTTGAAAAAAGCTGGTTTTCCTGTAAATGTAATACTGTTTAGCATAACAGCCTATCACGTTACTTTAACTCATACATAAAAAAGGGATCTTAATGGATCACAGAAATCAAGTTTAACACTATATAACATTTTGATTTCAAACGATTCCCTTTGAAGTCAAAGGTAAAATTATTACTGGTTTTGATAAGTGCAGATTAAACATAATGGTAAGAAAAATTTAACATTTAATTAAAACAATATCCCTAAATTCTGTTTAGAAAAACTCCAGAAAATATTGATGCAGGTGTATAAAAATAATCTGAAAGCCCAATTTGACTCATATTGTGGCTAGATTTTACATAATATAAACAAAACAAATTAATAATTTTCTTATTTCAACATAAGAGACCTGGAGTAATCTGAAAAAATTCACATGAGAATGTTTCTTTTTGGATAAATAAAGGCAGATTGAAAATGTGTAAAAGGAAAATGAGAACAAAAATAAAATTGAGGGTAATCTGATGCTAAAAATTATCAAGGCATGAAAAACATTAATAGAAGTAATCCTTTTTTTTGAAGGTCAGTATATAGGTAATCATATTTCTATTGTTTATGAATGTAATGTAGCCAAAATGAAGTTCTGGGAATAAAATTAAAAATGCATTTCTAAGTTCATTAGGTATCTGTGTGGGAGAACAGAATGCTAATGTCTATATTTAATTGCAATTATAATTCTAGAATATTTTTGGTTTGGTCTCAGTAACTTATGTTTATGTGAAGCATAATTTGTAGAGAGGTAACCTCTTTTATCCAACGAGGTATAGTTGGGTAAAATGGACATGCTTGTCTGTGGAACACTGATCGCAATTCAAAAGCCAACTGACTATGGAAAACTAATATTGAAGATTTTGCAGCTGATTTCTAATTAGGACAGAGAAGCATTTAAAATATATAAACCAGTATACTTAGGTTTCAGAACTGAAGTTCATTTTGTGTCAGGAAACAAAGATCTCCATGTATGCTGATGCTGCTAGAAGGAAAGACCATCTTCAAATGTCCCAAGTACGAGGCTGTATGTATTTTGTCATCTCAAATGGTTTCAATGGTTTCCATTAGGAAAAAACCCTCTTTAAATTACAACCAGAATTCCTTCTCAAAATTGTTAGTTACAGAGGACTGTAAGGCTCCTGTTTTTGGACCATGAAACGTTTCCTAAAGGATCATCAAGGCTTTAAAGAAGACCTATACTTAGTAGTCCTGTTCCCAGACCCTGTGCCTCCCTGACTAGTAGAATTTCATATTTCGCTAGTGGCCTTAGGATTCTAACTGATTCAGCTGAGCAGATAGAAAGCATCAGTGTCAAATCTACTGCCAAGGCAAAAGCTCAAAGCATCATTACTGCCAGAAATGATCAACCCTAAAGGGAAGCACAAATGACACTATAATATTTGCCAAATAATCAAATGGTCTAATCTTCCTTATTTCACTTGAACTTATTCTGATTTCTCTACTTGCAGTTACTCTGTCATAAGTGGGAAGTCGGAAATTGTCAGCTCTAATCAGGCAAAGTCATGTATGCATGAGCATCAGAAAGAATTAAAATGTAGTATTTTTTATCCCTCTTGAAATGTTAGAAGAGGCTCCATAGAATGTTCTGGTCGTGGTTCATCTGTTGCATGATGCAGTGAAGGAACAGTATCAATTTTCAAACTTTACATGAGCTTTCAACATGCAGAAGATGGATTAAAAAATGAGATCAGAGCCCACATACTTAAACTGAATGTAAGATTAAGAAATAATAAGGAAACTGTTCTTTTGACTCCCATATATGAACAAAACCCCAGTGCAGCCGAAGGATTGTTTTGTGTATATTTAGGTTAAACACATAGGCTTCCCCTTCAATAGACTAACATATGTGTTTAACATTGGCAAGGAGGTACAGTCTGAAGTTACAGAAAATAAGTAATCTTGGAAGTTTATGTTTAGATTTGTTTTTCTTCCTACAGTAGAGCAACAGCTCAGGCATTATGAATGAAAGTTTTGATATCCAGACTTTCCCACCTCTTCCCTTCAGTAAGAATCAAACTGCCATTTAAATGAGGAAGTCATAGCCCATTTGAAGACAACACCTGAACAGAAAAATTCTATATTACCATCTAATTTTCTCTTTTAAAAAACACAGTTTAAAAGCGATTAAATATACTTAAATGTTTCTGCAGTTAAAATTCTTGCAGCCATGAAAACTGTTCTTGTATTCCTTCCTGCTCCTTATGTAGAGCGGTCCCTTGATTATCCAATTCTCCAGGATGCATTCATAAGAACAGTTATTACTACTCCACATTCACATATTTACGCCTACAACAGCCTGATTTTTTTCTTGTTCACTGACTGTGAACATGAACAGTTTTTTATGATTTTATAGGGCATAAATACTTAATCGTTCTCACTTCCAAACTTCTTCCAAGTTTGTGATCAACAGAGTATTCCCTGTGTAAAACCTTGTACTCATGAAGTTATCATTCTCATTGTCTGATAGAAAAATAATAATTTCACAGTCAGTAAAATCCTAAACAGTGCTGACAAAGTCATGGTTGTTTGAAAAAAAAAAAAAAAAAAAAAAAAAAAAAAGATACAAATTAACTGAATAGGAACAAGTCATGCAAGAGATTGACAAAGTGCTGTGTCAACATTATTCTAAAATGGTCAAAACTAATGGGAGTATAAACCTCTAAAAATAAATACAACCCACAGTATACTAATATTGTAGTTCTAAAGTTACTCACGTCTGACATCTTTCACTTGATAGTGTGAGAACAGATAAAAGAAGTCATTTTAGAGGTGTCATCAATTTTGTGAACTGTTGTTATGCAAGGGGTTTCTATAATATGTAGACTGTAGCTGGTGCTTTCGCTTTAGTCTCTGAGGCAAGGTCAAGGCTACCAATGCCAAAATTGTACAGTTTCAATATTCCTAAAGAGGTTCATGTGTCCTTTAGAATAAGTTGGGCAGCTTTAGACACTATTCAAGACACCCCGGGGATTAATAACTTCAGGAGACTGGATCTTGCTGAAATTAACACAGTAGAGTCAGCTAATTAATAGTACTGTACATACCAAAGCAGAGATGTAACGTTTTTAACTATCGGTCCAAATGTGGTTATTTATGGTGTTTTTTATGTGTACTGATGGATTTAGAAAAGAATCTTTCCAAATTGATTTCTTTTTTCCTACAAAATATCATAAAAATGCTCTCTTGTCATTTAATTAATAATAGATAAAAAAGATGGAGTGCTGCATTAAATTTACACCATGTATGTCTATATTTAACCTTGACAACAGAAGCCCCTATTTCAGAATCATAAAAAGAAATAGACATTTTTGAGTATAATACATCTGGCCTATTTTAAATACTTATTTTAGGTTAAGATGATGTTTTTGAAGCATGTACTTTACTAACTTGAAAGCGAGCTTAGGGTTACTAATTCAGATGTGAACATCTGCGATGGTGGAACAAATTACTTTTTCAAAAATTCTTAGAATTAATAACAGAAAATGTTTAAATAATATTTTGGGCTTTTAAAAGTCTTTGCTATGAATCCAAATGTTTCCAAGCACTACTGTGACATAATATAAAACATTCCTTCTACAACAAAATCACCAGTCCCCAGCATCTTGCATGATACCACTGTTTCTATTATAGATGTTAATTCTTGTGGTTCAACATTAAGAACATACATACAGTTCAACATTTCAAAATATCCATCAAATGGAAGAAAATAGAATTGAAGAATGAAATTAAAACTTGGCTTTTTACTAAAAATAAACACATTTTCATATGAAGGATTTTCAGGAAATGCTGGTTACCAATTAAAATTCCAGATCCCTTTTGATACTTTTAATGACATTTCTTCCACATGAAGAAAGATGAAAAAAATTTGCTATAGAAATTGATCAGAACAAGGATTTTTGTCTGAAAAGTAACACAATAATATTTCTAATGACTTCTTACTCTGACTTCTTCCAGTTTATTGGAATCTAATTCTCTCTTTTCTGTCTTCAGAGGAAACTCCTGACATAATACTTGATAAAATACTAGGACTAGTTTTACAGCAATGGCAACCTCAGCTACTGTGCCTTTTTTTTTTTTTTTCTTCAGAAAAAACACCCCAAACTATCAAAATATGTTACAGATTAAAAAAATAAAGACTTTATGATTACCTGTGTCCATTCATTAGTTTGAGGGTCATATGCTTCCATAGTGTTCAGGTATGTTTGACCATCATAGCCACCTACTGCATATAATTTGTCACCAAGAAGACAGACACCAACAGCATCTCGAGGCATACTCAGTGGAGCCACCATTGTCCATGTATCAGTCTTTGGATCATACCTGAGGAAATAGAAATGAAACGGAATGTCCAAGAAGAAGATAAGTATCAATTCATGCTGATCTTCTCTGGACTTGAATATAATATTATTTTTTTTCTGTGGGAAAAAAAATCTGTCAGCATTCTATCCAAAAATATACTTCCTAACAGCAAAAAGATAACATATAGATTTATTGTGTTCCCATTTCAAACCTTTAAATGTTGATCAGGAATGCTTGCTCAGCTAACCTTTTGGAATAAAATATTTGTGGGGTAAGGTGTCATAAAAAAAGAGATTGGAGAAGAATATAAGAGCAATATCTGGTTGTGTGTATATTTATATATATATATATATATTTAAATAGGATATTTTTGTAGCATATTAAGAATATTCTTTCTCAATTTATGTTTAATTTTAATTTATAAAATTATACTATACAATATTCACAGATAGAAAACCTCCCTAAGAATTCAGGGCATATGCTTAACTTCATGAGAGTTAGACTTTCCTCCTGATATTTACTCAGGTGATGAGACTAATACTGTTTTTAAGATATATTCACCACAGAATTCTTAAAACTGAGAGCAAAATGCTTTTAGTATAATGACAGAAATTAAAAAATTAAACATTTAGCCTAAGCCATTAATTTAGATGTTCATTAACAATATAAAAATCAGTTCGTTTGAGAAGCGATTCCATTGTATCTATTTTAGACATTTGTAACACAGAAATTAATCACCTTTTGATAGTGCCTCTCAGTTTGATACTAAGAATGTCTGGAGTATTAGGTTAAACTAGATGCCTCATTTTAGATGACAGATACTACTAAAATAGAATACTGTAGCACAGTGTAATAGAATTAATTTAATCTGTACTTAAGCACCTCTATTACGTAGTAGAATCACTTGATAACTAGTGGAGAAAATAAACATTTTAAGGTTTTGAATCTGTTGATGAACTTTAGTAATTTGCTTAAGTGTAAGGTAGATCACACTTTGGGAATAATAATTTCTCTAAAATAATTGCAAAGGAAATCTATAATGGCTAAAAATCTTATTTATTTACAAGTTCTGTACTATATTGATATATAAAACAAGGCATCAAATCATATTCTCCTACACCTTCAAGAAACAGTATGAGCTATAAGTTCATTTTCTGGGGTGAAGTCAAGTTCTTTCAACGTATTCTCTTGTACTCTAAACTTTATTAACTAGAAGTTGATAATCATACCTAAATTTGTATATATTCTTTACAAAAAGGAAAATTACAGGTTTTTACTACAAAAGCTGACCATAAGAGCACCTGTAACTCTTTCAATCATTCATATTTTCAATAAGGAAAACTGTTTGAAGTCCCATGTTGAACAATGGAAAATTCTGAACTTTTAAAATATAAATATAAATACTGCAACAACAATGTTACAGTGATTTGCTTGTAACTGCCTTTTGGTTCAAATATATGACCTTCAGATTGGACAATAGCAGGATTGTCTTTAATCTTGATTAAATTGTTCTTGGAAGCTAAATACATTTTGGGAAAAAATCCTACTCATCTACTGGCTGCTAATCATTCTGGCTTTATGGGGTCTTCTCACAAAATAACATGCTAAACGTTTGTGTACTAATTTTTATGTCCAAAATATCATTGATTGTGTTGTTATTTTTTCTTTCTTTTTCTAGATTTTCTATATTTTATTTATACACATTCTTTAATTTTTCTATCTTTCCTTAAGATGTTTTGAGTTAAATATCTAGATATGTGTCAAATATCTTAAAACTTGAGAGGAAAATTCTTTAAAACAATGCTTTAAGATGTGGAAGGAAAATGTATATGCAATGAAAAAAAAAAAAAAATTGAATGGATCTTTTCAAAGATTGTGTAACTTTTTCAGCAACAACATTGTATGCCTCTAGCTGAGAGAGTTACCAACCAGTGAAAAGCATCAACATGCACTGTATCTTCACCTGCCTACAGGCAATAAATTTTAATAGACTCCTTGGTACACTTCACTTGAATTAAAAGGGCCAAGGTTAGGAGGTGCAAAAGCAGGGAAACTAAATGCAAATGACATCTTTGGACCTTATATATATATATATATATATATATATGTATATACAATTATGCAAAGCTAAACAGAATTCTTGTACCACAATTCTGTCAACAAAATAGAATTGCACAAGAACTTGTTTTTTGTAATTGCCAGGAAAATGTCTGAGATTTCTTATATCCTTTCTTCTAATAAAAACAACTGTACAGTTCACCTTTATAATAACTAGGTATGCCCTAGGGTGAAAAGGATTATGACGAAAGTTCCTGAATGTGAAAAGAAATAAATTTGACATCAAGGTGAGACAAAGGAGAAAAACTATACATCACTTGCTTATGATTTTAATAGATGTCAAGTCTTGAGTAACATTTGGAAAAGAAAGCTACTTTATAAAATCTGCCAAAATATCTGCAAAATATACTTCTTAAATAGGAGCCAGCTATTTTACTTTTTAAAAATAATACAACATTGTCTTTTCCCAGCTTCTGAAGAGCAAACACAGCTATTATTTTATGTTTGAATCCCTAGGAAATTCTTTACAATTACACCAACCTTAGAAGAGTTCAAACTGGGAGTCCCAATTACTATTGAGCAGGATTTTAGCAGTAACATTTAAAAAACACATTATCTGCCCTCACTAGATTTACATAATCTCAAAAATAAATTTTCAAACAATTTGTCTGGTTTGACAGTCTTCCAGGAGCAAATTGGTACTCCAATAAAGCACATCCTATCAGGCTATATCAGAATGACAAAATGACGGAAACAGAAACTCATTCCTGAAGAATGGACTTAGCTTAAAAAGATGCCTTAGATATTCTTTCAGAGAGACATAAAATAACTTACCATAATAGACCTCATTATCACTTACTAGTCTTTGGTTTCCCAAGTTATTGAGATGTTTTTATTTTTTTGAAAATTATGTATTAATTTTGAATGTAAAAACAGACACACTAAGTCACATTTCTGTCACCTTATAAACTTATCAGTCACTGAGAGGGTCATGAGAGTTTTTTCATGTTTGTTTTCATAGAGTCCACTGGTTAGTTGACATCTATTCTATGCAAGTTCTGATTTCTTAGTCCCAACTTTTAGTCTGGAAGCTAACTGCCCATGAAGTACATTATCCACATTTTTTGCTATCAGTGCAAAAATACCTAGACAAGGAACACTATATAATGTCATTCAGATACCAGTACATAAAACAGGTTAAGGATATGTGGTTTAGTTTGCTGTTGCAATCCCCTCTGAGAAAGACAAATATGATATGATGGGGTTTGTCTTCAACATCAGAAGAGTTTTCTTCTCAGACCAAACAATGAAAGAAAAGCTCCCTTACAAGTACCAATAAACAGAAGTAGCTGGAGAGATTTCCTACTTATTGTTGCTAGCAGTCTTAATATAAATTTATATAAATGAAAATTCTGGTTATTGTTCCTTATAAATAGAAGCCCACAAGGATGGCACCTGTAAGTACAGGCATCATGGGATTTCTCTGATGAACTTTCCATCTGTTGGAGTTGAGAAGTGTTTGGCAGTATGTGATCTTTGCTTACATACAGTAGAGATGGGAATGAGTTTGAGACTGAGCAAAATCATATGGATAACATAAGGAGTAAGTTTTAGCTTCTAATTTTGGATGACATATTTAGTAACTGTAAATGCCAAGCCAGATTCAGCAGAAGCAATAACTGACATTCAATTAAAGTTTAACTCCTTCAGAAAATAAATAATGTCTTCCAGCACCTTGTATGTTAAAATAAACTAACTATTCAAACATATCTACTTAACCTTTGCAACCAGTGCAAGAGTATGGAGAGTATGTTATTCTTATTTTATAGCAGACAGAAACAGTAAAAAGTCAAACCTTCATGAAACATTTGAAGAGTATCTTCAAATTCAATGCTATAATCACTCCAACTCTGCCCTACTGCCCTACTAGATATTCTTGAATTTGCAGAATATCCACTCGCAAAATTCAGGGTACTCTAAACGCAGTGTATAATGCTTATATGAACACATCAGGAAGTGGCAGTTGTGCTGAAGGAAGCAATGTCATGTACTGTAAATAGCCATCACTAGCCTTTCTATATTGCTTCTTTGCTCAGCTATGTTTTTAGAATTACACAATACTTATAAACACAATTTGGTGTCATAAAATTGTTTCAAGTTTGAACTTTTATCTCTGGAAAGCTTAGTTTATGATTTCAACATGTAATATCATGCCTTAAAAGCAAAGATTTCTTAAATGAGATGTGAAAAGAGTGGATTTTTGTCCATGCTAATATAGAACAGTACTGTGAAAAAAAGGAAAAGTAAATAACCCTCAAAGAAAATGTGTTCTACAAACTTCTGTGGAATTTTTGAAGTAAATAATAATTTGGCAGTTCTTTGGGTAAAAGTATCTGTTTAATTTTACCATCACTTAGCTAAGAAAATGATGCTACTGGTCATTACTTTGTATTCACAACATGTATGCACAATTGAATACCTTTCTACATAGTCCAGCAGTCGGGAACAATGGTTAGAAGCAGGAGCATCGTGGCCTCCAACTGCATAAAGAAAACCATCACATGTCGCCACTCCTACACCTCCTCTTCTCTTACACATAGGAGCACACATATTCCATTTATTTGTGTGAGGATCATAATATTCCATTGAACTCAAACATGAACTTCCGTCCCGACCTCCAATGGAATATAACCTAAGAAAGCCCACAGAAATAAAAATGTTAATAAATCAAGAGCTTGGAACTGTAGAAATAAATAAATAAATACATAAACAAACAAATAATTTTTATTTTTTTTTTTTAAAGAGGAGCATCTGGGGTTTTTTATATGACATTAGGAAACAGGGGGAAAAAAAAAAAACAAACAAACAAAAACCAAAAAAACCCCACAAACAAACAAACACAAAAACCAAACAAAAAAACCACAACCCAAAATTCTCAAAATCATGTGAAAGTCATATGGTCAGCAAACACAAAAGATTTTCATATTATTACCAAATTCACATACTACTTAGTGCTTTGCCCACCTGAATAGAAAGGAAGATATTTTCTTTCTGGTAATGGATATTTTCATTCTTTGATTGCATATAGTGCCAAGAATGCCATAAGTGACATACAGATTTGCCTCTATAGATTTATAAATCATGTAAACATTGTTGCTGCCTTACTGCTCATCATCTGCGAGATAGACATGAAAGTGCTAACTTATAATTGGTAATCCAGACAAATAAGAAATATGCAATTATATTTCCATATATACAATCATAGTTTCTCTGTGTTTTTATCATGCATCAAAGTGGTGGGAATTAGTCTGACAACTGCCGTCCTGTATTTTAACATTCCGTCTTGTAAAATTCTTTAATACTGAAGAGATCCACAAGCTTCTAATTCTCTGTTCTCAAAAAAAAAAAAAAAAAAAAAAAAAGCTAGCAAGAAAAAGAAGTACTGCATAAATTCTGTATGCGAAAGTGCAAACCATATGATTGACTGTAGTCAGTCTTTGATCTAGTATTCAGCCTATTCCACATACAAAACTATCAATGGGGTGCTCGTGTCCAGAATGAATTTTACACTTACAACATAGTAATCAAATATGCAGCGCATTGCAGAAAAGAATATCACATTATGTTTTAAACATGTATTTTTAAAAGTATTACCTCAGTTTCAAGGATCTTGATTATACTGAGGAAAAGTCTTGCCCACACTAACATTAACATGTCTACTCAGCAAGTAAGAAAATAATACCCCCAGGCACCGTTTGTCGATTTTCTTCATCTGAATATGTTATGAAGGTTGAGTTCTGTAGGGAAGCCATGGAAAACTTCTGAAAATATTTTAAATTTGAAATGGCAAAAATGTGGTTTAACGAAAAATATGTTGTGTTTGTCACTATCTGCAGGCAAGAAACTTGTTTCCTTCCTTCCTTTATAATGGTTCCCAGGAGGAAACAGTTCTGATTGTTCTTTCCCACTATTACCATGCTATATTCATTTCTTATATTAATCCTTTTGCAGTCTGTTGCCTTTTCTACAGTGCCTGGAGATTAACTAATAGAAACACAGGCTATTTAAAGTCCAACCACTGAGCAATTTAGGATGCAAAAGCTGTCTGTCTGAAGCAATTATTCATTTGGAAGCAGTTACTGTCCTAAGCGCTCCATGAATTCAGAGCTAGTTAAATGTTCATTTACCATTACATGTCATTGGCATGGATGCTGATGAATAAGGAAATACTGTACTACCACTAGATATGTCACATTAGCCATAGAATATTTTGGTACTACCTGAGCGACAAGCTTGTGTTCTGCTCAAGTATCCAGGAGAATTCAGACTCCTCTATGAGAGACATTAAAGCAAATACACTTTTTCTGCAACTCTTTATGTAGATCCAGCCCCAAGACATTTACCTTTCTATATGATTAACAGGTGAGATCCAAGTCAACATTAAGACATCTACATATAAGTGTTGGGTGTCTACAGTGCCTAAATTGCTGTTATGCTCAGGGTAATTGGCCAAGCCTAAAGGAACAATTTGGTTCACCACCCATAACCAATGTTTTTTTTTCTTCAGCATACAATAAGAACTGCAAAACAACACTAAAAACATTTTAAACATGTGATCCAAATACATTTACATAATTATAAATGTGAATATAAGCATTTACATATAGGTTTCTGCAAGGATGTTATCTTTATTTTCAAAGATAGGGCTTGGTTCAGCTGCCCACAGTGATAAAACATTATTTGTGACATCTAGAGTGCGGTGACATTCCCTGCAAGCTGGCAGATATGACAAAGACTACACAAGGAGAAACATGCGTGATTGCTGGAGGTCAAGTAGGCTATTCCTGAGACAATTCAAGTGGCAATAGACAATTACATGTAGGTAAGTTAACTGATCCCTAATTTTCAAATAGATGTCTAATTAAATATTTGGACACTAAAACACCTCACACAATTTTTAAAAATGCAAACTACTAACACCTGCGCAGAGTTCAGTGTGAATAATCATGTGTTCCCCTAGCCTAAATACCTGCCACGTTGTTTATTTCCTCTGGCATTAGAAGTTCCATTGTCTTTGAACTGAAATAAATCTATAAACTGATACTTCCACATTGAAAGTGAAGCACACTTTTTCATTCCTCTTTTTCAATTACAACACTTAGTAAAATATAGCTAAAGGCATTCCTGAGTTTCTGGAAAAGAAACAGAAAACATTGTTCATAATTGATAAGTTTCAGCAAGAGATAGGGACCACCAGTTTTTATTAAAATGCTCTAATCCATTCAAAACAAAACAAAACTAAGTTTGAATCTGTTCATATCTTGGTAAGGAATAATTCATAAAACTAACAGTAAAATTTTATTTCAAAGAGGTGTATTTCAGAAAAATGGAAGCTTGAAACTGAGTAATAGTTTTAAAGTTGTAGTTGTGGTTGAACCTTAACACCTCATTCGGTAGTCCCAAATGTCCAAAATGACTCTGAAACCAGTGCTGAACATTCAGGATACTGTACAGCTAACTGAAACTTTTTAAATTCTTACCATAGAATCACAGAATGGTTTGGATTGGAAGCAACCTTAAAGATCAGCCAACCCCCCTGCCACAGGCAGGGACACCTTCCACTAGGTCAGGTTACTCAAAGGCCCGTCCAACCTGGCCTTGAACACTGCCAGGGAGGGGACAGGCACAGCTTCTCTGGGCAACCTGTTCCTGTGTCTCACCACCCTCATGGTAAAGAATTTATTCTTTATAGTTAATCTAAACCTACTCTCTTTTCTTTTACCCCTCATCACTACACTCCCTGATAAAGAGTCCCTTACCATCTTTCTTGTAGGCCCCCTCTAAGTACTGGAAGGCTGCTATAAGGTCCCCCTGGAGACATCTCCTCTCTAGGTTGAACAATCCCAACTCTCTCAGCTTGCCCTCATAGGGAAGGTGCTCCAGCCCCCTGATCATCTTTGTGGCCCTCCTCTGGACCCTCTCTAGAACGTCCATGTCCTTATGTTAGGGTCCCAGAGCTGAAGACAGTACTTCAGGTGGGGTCTCACGAGAATGAACTACAAGGGAAGAATCACCTGCATCAACCTGCTGGCCACACATCTCTTGATGCCACCCAGGACACTGTTGGCTTTCTGGGCTATAAGCGCACATTGCTGGTTCATAGTCAGTTTTCAATTCACTAATACTCCCATTTCTTTCTCCTCAGGGCTGTTTCCAATCCACTCTTCACCCACAAGTCCAGGTAGATGACATCAGTTGCTCTTCCCTTATGCACTAATGTGGCAATCCCATTGTAGAAGGCCACCAGATTCGTAGGCATGATTTGCCCTTAGTTCAATTATTTTGGCTGTCACCAATGACCTCCTTATTTTTCATGTTCCCTAATGTATTTTCCAGGAGGATCTACTCCATAATCTTGCAGGGCACAGAGGTGAGACTGAGTGGCCTGTAGTTCCTTTTTTCCTTTTTTAAAATTGGAGATTATTTCTCCCTTTTTCCATTCAGTGGGAACTTTACTAGACTGCAGTGATTTCTCTAATATGATGGATAGTGGCTTAGCTACTTCATCCACCATTTCCCTCAAGACTTACAGGTGCATTTCTTCAGGTTCCATGGACTTCTGTACCTTCAGGTTCCTTAGATGGTCTCAAACCTGATCTTCTCCTACAGTGGGTGGTTCTTCGTTCTCCCACACCCTGCCTTTGACTTATGTGTCTTGGGCAGTGTGGCTGGAGCACTTGCCGGTGAAGACAGAGGAAAAAAATTGAGTACATCAGACTTCTCCATGTTCCAGGTAACCAGGTCTCCTGTTCTCTTCCAAAGAGGTCCTACATTTTCCCTAGCCTTCCTTTTATCACTGATGTACATAGAGAAACTTTTCTAGTTGCCTTTGATGTCCCTGGCAGATATAATTCCATTAGGACTTTGGCCTTCTTAACCCGATCCCTGACTGGTCAGACAGTTCATCCCTCTGCGGATGTTTGATCTCAGGCAGCAGCCAGATGGCACGTGGCCGGCCCTTAATCTCCCCTCCCCCCTCTAGTAAGATAGGGGAGGCACAAAAGAAGAGAATTCATGGGTTGAATAACAAAAAAGAATTTACTAAATATAACAAGAGAACAACAGGAAAAATAGTGAGTTCAAAAATAAAATGGGTAAAATGCAGCAGTGGCTTACTGAACACGATGACCGCCCCCCACAGCAGCAATACCAACAGAGGAGCAGACGGCGTGTGCCAGTCCCCAGCAAAAAAACAAGAGAGCCACTTGCCCACCTGGGCATGACATCACATGGTATGAAATACTCCAATGAAAATTAACTCCATCCTGGTCAAAATCAGGACACCCTCCCAGGCTACCTGTCCTTGCTTCCACCCTCTATAGGCTTCCTTTTTGTTTCTGAATTTCTCCAGTAGCTCCTTGTTCATCCATGCAGGCCTCCTGGAATTCTTACCTGCCTTCTCTTTGATGGAATGCTTCGCTCCTGAGCTTGGAGGAGGTGATCCTTGAATAACAACCATTTTTTTGAACCCCTCTTCCCTCCAGGGCTTTATCTCCTGTTACTCAGCCAAGCAGATCCCCAAAGAGGCCAAAGTCTGCTCTCATGAAGTTCAGGATACTGAGCTTGCTGTTTGCCCTCCATGCTACCCCAAGGATCTTGAACTCCACCATTTCATGTTCACTGCAGCCAAGG